AGAAGTTTAAGAAGACTTCTGAACAATTGATGAAATTTTTTGAATTGCTTCCAGAGACAAAGATGTGTTATCATTGCTTGTATGAAACTGATAAAGATCCTGAATATACCAATACATTGAATTATTCACAGGCTAAAGAAAGAGTTTTGAATGAAAATTTAAGACAGTTTAAGGGTAGATCATATGTTTTGTGTGGTAATGTTATTTACTCTGAAGCCGAATTTCAGGAACTGGAAGCTGCATATAACGAAGTATATGTAGAACTTGATGAAGCGAAACTGGGTAAGCAAATATTTTTTATTTACGGTTTTACTTTTACAATTAAAAAAAATTCATTTATGGTTTCATTTCGAATTATTTTAGAATTAATTCCTCTTAACAAGAAGATTCGACTAATGGCAGGAGTACTGTACACAAGGCAGCGAGTGTATAAGGAGAAGCCTATTTTGGATCCAGAAGAATTTAAAAAAATGCTTGAGGAAACTGAGCCATTATTGAGGGGTTTCTTCGATCAATTAGTGTCTAGTACTAACCCAAAGGCTGAGAGCAATATGACTAACGAAAAAAACAAAAAAATATTAGTTTCTTTTTGTTATTTTTTAGCAGGACTTAATAACAAGTTCATTAACGGGATCAAAGCAGAGGTTGGATTTTTATTGGATGTAGCTGGAACTTCTTCGTTGGCAATAGAGACACTAGCTGGTGCGGGCTTAACAGTGTAACGTATAACCATTACAAGACAAAAGACTCAACATTCAGAAGGACATCTGATGATGGTTGGAAGGTTTTTGACTGAAAATGTAATTTTTATTTATTTATTTTTATTTATTTTTTATTTTTTTAATTATGAATTAAATTATTTTTTTTAATAGGATGAAAATTTGGTCATTCTTAATGTGGATGATTTCCACAATATTCATAAATATCGTTGCTGTAATGTAACAAATACCTTTAATGTTGCTTATTTTGTTACAATACTTTTAAAAGCCCTGCCAGAAGCGGTCCCTATTCCATTTTATAATCCTAGCAATTAAGAAAAAAATATTCACAATGAAGAGAGTATTGATGCAATTCTTATTATATCAAATGCGTGTACTTATTTTTTTCCTCATTTATGACTTAGTTATACAGGGTGCAAACAAGCTTTTAACGATTTATTATTGGAACCAGAGACCCATGATAAACGAGTTGAACATCTTTTAATCCATAGCTACGATGATAGAATCGAACAATGTCGTACTGACCGAAGTATGGAGAATGTAAAGCTAGTTGATCTAATCGAAGGGTCCCTTAAATCGACTAATGATTATGTAAAGGCAGTTAAATGTTTGATAGATATTCCTGAAATAAAAATTTATATGAAAACACAGGTATTAGTGACTCCTATGGATTATCCTGAACAACTTCATATACGGTATGCTATTACCAATCGAATTAATATGAAAGATTCTTCTGGAATATCAGAACAGATTTTGTGCATTGTTCCTATAATTGGACCTTTGCATATATCCTTAAACAGTTGTAAGACTGTATTTTTATTAAATTATACATTTTTTGATAAATTTTTTCATAAAATATTTGGCGAACATAAGGTTTTGGCTAAAAAGCCAAAACCTTATAAAATTAATTTACTTCTAGAATTAGCATCACAGAGTTGGTCTCGAGTACGTTCACCAATTCTACGTAAATTTAAGTGGTCCAGAGACTTAGAAGCTAGATATCTTATTTATTTACTGGACAACATCGTTCCATTAGTCTTGGACTTTTATCCCATTATATTTCATAGTGGGAATTGGATAGCATATAAGGAAGCCATGTTTCGTGTTTGGGCCATTTTCCATCAATATCAATGTTGAAATTATAACAAATTACCATTAGCATTTCTGAGCGACATTTTTTTTTGGTCTAATACTAACCATCCAATTTCACAAGTTTTTTCAGATTCACTTCACATTTTTAATGATTATTATGTCGAAAATTTTCACAGTTCTCTTTGATGACAAATACAATCATCAAACACAGCAGAACAAATTATTCGTCAAGCATGAACAATTGACCAGATACGTGGTGGCAATTCATTTACTAATACATTTTCTGAAGATCATAATATTAGATATTCAACCAAACAGCTGGAATATCTTGAAAAGAGTGCTGCGCTTTTCTTATTAAATCTTTTTACAGATATATATATGAATATCAGGCGGTCAAATGTTATTGCATTGAATGAAGATTCTGAAACAGAATTATTTGAACTTCCAATGCTGAAGACTAAAGTTGATATTAAGATATTATCAATGGCTTGGAATACGACTTATCCTCCTCAAAAAGACAAGCATTGTGATTTGGAAGATTGTATAGATCCTTGTGAGGTAGGTTTCATTTTAGTTTGTGAACACGTTTATTATTATGAATGTTTTTTGTTTAAGTTAGAAAGTCAATGCTGGTATTGCGTCGATTACCTTGTAAGCAGGATTAAAAGTAATTGTAAGGCTTTTCAAAAAACCTTAGAGTCATTCAGTAAGATAGAAATAGATAAGGGTTTAAATGAGTTAGATAGTACTGAGACTCAGGAAACTCATAAAAGTACTAATATTAGCGCTGAGGGTCTCGCTTTAAATAATAGTATAGATTTACAGATTGAAAGAGCTATGAACATTTTAACAGACGTATGAATAAATGTAATTTTTCGAAAAAAAAATTTTTAAATAAAAATAAATTTATCATCTTTATTATAATCAATATTAATTTAAATTTACAAATTATAATTTAAATTTACATTACAATTAAATAAAATGATTTTTTTAATTAATTTTTTTTTTTAAAAAAACTTTTAACATTTCCTATCTCTAAAGATTTTTGACAATAAACGAATGTCATATATTCATCTTTTGCATATAATTCACCAAAACAACGTTCATTATTCATATCGCTTAGACGATAAGTTCGAATCCAATATAATAAATATTAAAGCATGATCTGTAATAACGGTTCTTTCGGTAAAAATTGGTCGATCTTTTTTTTTATCACCCAATCATATTTTAGAAAAATCAATCAAATGATCTACGAAATATAGCCAATCACATCGAATGTTCGCTATGCTGTTATACTTAACTCGAACATATTTTATATTCAAAGAGAGCCGGTTAAGAATATTTATTAATATTTGAATGGTATTTAAATTAGATAATAATATCACCTGGGGAAAAGCATCCTTGGAATATGTTCAATGTACTCTGTTGCCTGCGGACGCTTGTTATTCGAGGACCTCTTAGTTTATTGTAGAAATTAAGAGAGAGATAATATTGTTGATGTGGGAGAGCTACACATGCTTAATTAGCATGGCTTAATTAGCATATTTAGCTTACCTAGCTTGAACATATTTATGACGCCCCAGCTGGTTATATCATGCTGGTTTGTTGTTCGCGGATACTTTGTAACAGTAATGACGTCTTACAGGTGGTTATATCATTCTAGTTTAGGAATAGTACCATGCTGGCTGATTGGTTATGAATATTTTGAGTGCAATAATTTATATTATAAAAAAACTGTTTTTATTTGATATATACTAATATTTATTTTATTTTTTATTTTTTTTTAAATAGCATTAATCAAATAATGATATTGAAGACGGCAAAACGATTAGTTAACTTCTCTAATTTCTAATTAGCAATAGCCTTGGACCAAAAGGAGGAAAAGCATTAGCCGATGTACTTGCAGATGCACTTATTCGAATTTTAATAGATGTATATATTGTTATGACGAAGAAGTCGGTACCTAACTTATATAATCTGGATAAGAAATTGTTGTTGTTTTGGAAATTGTGGATCGTATGTCTTGAAGTATTGTGCTTATAATTTCATTGTTGCTATTGTTTTTATTTGTGAACGCCTTGCTAACGCTTGTTCTTTATTTTTTAAGTTAGTTAGGGTTTTCTAAGCTTCTTGAAAAATTGAAAAAGTATAATTTTCTTTTTTTGTGTTTTTTTTCTTTGATTACATTTGATTAACGCTCTTTTCTTTTATAGGTGTTGATCGGAGGTTTCTGAGAACTTTTCATGACAGTTATTAGGTGTTTTCCGGGAAGTATGGCTTATCTAATTTGTTGTTCTGGATTGTGGATGTATTTTACTAACTCTTGTTTTTTTTTATGCATCTCAAATTACATTAATGTGTTTCGTTTGTTACGTGGTCTCCGTTTCTCCCATTGGTCTTTCACTGAGCTATTGGTATTTGATTTGATAATATTCGCATCGTCATTTATTGTTAGCATTAAAAAATTCTGTGCTAAATTTGTGTCATAGACAAAATTTTTTAAAGTTCATTAATATTATGGTTAGCGTTTAGAATAAAGTTTATATAATAAGATCACTCAAGGAGAACTTTTTTGTTAGAGCACTAAAGGTGGTTTATTATGTAGATTTTGAGAAGGAAGCAATTTTTGGCAATTTTCTGATCGTGCTACGTTACGTTTAATCCTCGAAATCCGATTTGTTGTCTCCAATTGCCCGAAGTACTCTGGTTTATTGTGGTTTATTAAGAGATTCCGGCTCTGGGTTATAAGTGAAAGGACTCAAATGGTGTCCAGTGTCACAACGTCCCATAGTTATTATTGATAAAGAGATACCTCCCGGCGTATTGACAATGAAGCCTTGAATTATCCACTCGCTAAATATAACACGCCTCATTCGATAGGTAGCCGTGAAATCTTCAGATAAAAAAGCGATATAACCAAGAGTTGACTCAAATGGCTTATCAGATATTTAACTAAAAATTGTGCACCAACCATTGGATATAAATAAGTAATAATTTCCATGATTCCATTAAGAGTATGAGATAATAAAATTACGTTTTCCTATTAACAAAAAATACAAAACTTATGTTATTCATCATTGAAAAAAATTATTGACAGAACCTACATTCCAGTTTGTCTTGAAGATTAATATTCTTTTTGCCGAAATGTAAACTATGTTTAATGTTAGCAAATAATGTTAACACTGTATGATGCACGTACCTGATTATAGTGACGATAATAGGTGGGTGGGTCATCTCAGGGTTACAGTCAGATTTTTGTAGCATCTAAAGTAGCGCTATTTTCTAGCAGTCATACAGTTAAAATCAATTAAAATTATCATAAAATTTAATTTAAACCAAATTACTGACAATTCATTGCCATTTGCCACATGGTTGCGATGAATCATTATATGCGACAAATAATTAGTCGTATTAGTGAACTCTTATTTGTCACGCAAATAATTCATCTCACCAAAAATTGCAATTAATTGACTCACCACCAATCAATTGAATTCAAAAAATTGCCTCACAATCAATTATTTCGGTAGCTAGTGATGCTATTTTATGCTATTGTTGCACAAACTCGTTATTATTACCTTTACCTGATTGGTTAAATAATTATCAATAGTGAAGATAAATTTATAGTCAAGTATAAGTATAGGGAGCTTATTAATAAAGTTGATTATTAATAATCAATTGATTTATGGAAAAAATTTTTGATATTACCGGTATATTTTGTCTAATTTATATAATAATTTGCATCAAATAAATTTTTTTCCTTATGACAACGCTTTTAAAAAATATCTTCATGATTTACAAATAATCGACACTCTTTCCGCTTCCGGAAGCCGGGTGTCAGAAAGGGAAACAATATACCACAAGAAATCAAACTTATCAAAGATAAAACCACCCCAACAAGGGCAAAGGCCCTTATTTTGAAAAAGCGAAGACGAGTGGATACTGAAATGGAAAAATCCAGTAATAAAATAAGAAAAGTTCATGACACAAGACTAGGAACTAAGGACAAACTTAACAACGGTGACAAGAAAAATCAAACTGGAAATACAACAGTTACAGAGACCCCCAAAGCCAAAGTAACCACATCCAACACGACCAGTAATAGAACGGGAGACTGGCACAACATGGTAGAAGAGGTATATCAACCAAATGAAGAAATTTCTCGCAAGAATAACAATAAAAGCCTGCCAAAAATTCAAACAGAACAACCAGAAAATTTCATGGCACTACCCATAGAAAGTTCTGGAAAGACACCGGAACCAGAGTCCGATATAAGCTCTTCACATGATCAGAGTGCAGATGTTGGTTCAGAACAAGCTCAAGCTGCAAGTATAGACAAAAGACCTGGTCTCCTGAAACAGGAAGCAGATGGGTCAAATGAAATAAACCACTCAGAAGAAGAGAGTCAAGTTCCTATACCACGCAAATGGACAAGCCTATTCACAACTTTAAGAAGAGGACGAGCAACTTTTTCAAAGCATACTCCTAGGGGAAACATCGCCTCTAGAATGACAATGCACTAATCTTCGACATACAAAGTCTTAACAATATCTCAATAAATGAAATTATCTCAACATTATATGCCAAAATTGGTGACGACTTCATAGCAACTAAACCTCACTTCACAAGAGGCAAACGAACTCACTAAACACTCTTCCTGTCAATCATTCGGACACAAAAAATAGCTAAAGAAAAAAGAAGATTTTAGCAAAATTATCAATAAAAAACACCTCAAATAGC